GAACCGCACACACTTCTGCGTGTGACAGCAAGCAATCAAAACCCACATGGACACACAGCACCTGGACTCTGGACCCAGACTTTGGCATCTCTCCTTCCCCAAGTCCACCCCTGTTAGACCTTCCCTGCAATATGTAAGCTCAGACCTTCCAAAAAAAACCAACAAACAACCCCAAACCAGAGCCCATCAGAGCGGCGTTTCTTTGTACTGTTTAGTTTGCTTCAAAAACTGTATGCTCCTTGAGAGCAGGGCTCTCGCCCTCATTTCTGTACTCAGCTTCCTACTTCTTGCCCTCTCTTAAATAATGAAGCCCAAGTCATGACTGCTACCCTGCACTTAGTGACTCAAATTAAACAGGAAAGCAGGTCACGCAGGGCGTGAGGTTGACATCATCTTCCTAGGCTGTCAGCTGAAGAACTCTCGTTTTGGTTTGGGTTTTTTTTGCCTTTTCCCAGCTCCATTTTACCCAGATATTGACCATTCATGAAATACAAAGGGCACACACTTTTCAGTGTCAAAACTATTAGACAACAGCATGCCTTCCTGTAACTCTGGAAACTAAGCTACATGTAGAATACCTCTAAAGCAATTAAAACCAAAGAAAGAGAGAGCTCTTACTTTACAACCATACTGCAGGGCTAGCTTGTTAAGATTATCATCCTTTGTAACTTCTCGTTCCAGAAGTACCACATCTCCAACTCTGTCCCGAGAAGTGCTGCATTGCTGCTGCTCCTTGCCCCTCGGTCGCAATTCCATAACATTGAGCTCCTCCTCTGATGACTCTTCTGAATCACTCCGGCCATTGGGAAACACGTACACCTGCCTGCCCGGGTAATTATGGATGGTGACAGGAGCCTGGAAGGATCTTGTCCGGCTCTCATTCAGCCTCATCTTTTATACCAGCACCTGGAACAAAAACCAGACACTTTTAAATTCCTTAATACCTGTGTTTACTTCTTAGCATGTAAGATATGGGAGAACAGACAAAAAGCACAGTAGGTGCGCATGTGCACACACACAAAGCTTTCCTTCTACCCAGATCTTCTCAGGGGCAAATGCAAAAGATGCCACTCTAACCGCAATGACAGAAATACCAGAAACCTTATGTACACAAACTTCAACAATGGGAAGATTATTTTCAAATTTTTGTCTACCTGTGGACAAACCACTACATTACTCTACTTTGCTACACAACTTGAATACTATTTTCTATAATTTCATAAAAAAAGCAGCAGAGTCACTTGATCCGAGAGTCTTTAACTACGATTAAAAGACTCCATGGAACTACCAGACTGAACCACATCACATCTCCTACCAACACACATTAAAAACTGACCAGAATTATCCTTTATGTCCCCTTTCTGTTAGTCTTTCATTGTCTATACTTTAAGAATCCACACTTTAATTTCATGGAAGTACAGTTTTGGTTTTTTTTTTTTTTGTAAATAAGAATAGATTAAGCTACACTTAACTTCAACCTGAATGACATGGTCATCTTGCTGTATAAAGACAAGAACCTGCCTGAGCACCTTGTGTTAATTATTGCTAGGCCTACAGGAGCTAGTTACTACAAAGCAACCTTTTTTTTTTTTTTTTCTTATTTCAATTCTCAGCTCCAGTTTGTTATCAGGGTCAGCTATAGGTAATAAAACCCCACGTTCTCATGGAACTCCATTTACCTTAATATTCCCACCTACCCCTAAGGGATTCTTATGGAGAAACCATACGAATGCCATTTTATGATTTCCTGAGCGTTCAGCATGGCACCCACAGGCTGCAGGCAGGGTCACAGGTGTGCTACAAGAGCTCAACAACGCAGGCCACGGTCTCTCTGGACG